AGGCAGTTATTTAATGTATGGGGAAGTCAGTGGAGCCACAACTAATGGCCTGACAATCACAGGAGTTGTCATGGCCTAGGTTGGACTTGAAGAATAAAAGAACTGATGTGACTTTTTACAGAAAACGAAAACTAAATGGCCATTTCCTCTTAATGAGAATATGTTTCTGTTAAAGTGAAATAAGGTGTTTCATTGCATTTTATTTGCTATGCATATAAATAAAACAAGGGGGTTGGGTGTGGCTGAGAGAGAATAATGTATTCGTTTTATTGCATGAACAAGCTCCAATGCAAATACACTTCTTAAGAAATTCAAAAATAAAATTCCTTGAAGAAGTGTTGGCCAGAAAAGCAGGTGCATAGATGCTAGATGTGGCTAGCAGTGCAGAACAGGAAGAAGTGTTCCAATGACTTGCTCTTTGTTCCCCAAATGGAGCAGTTCACTCGGATGTCAGATACTTCCCGAAGCTTTGAAAGGGGGAGGGCTAATGCCTGCAGGGCAGCAGAGATTATAAAACACTGAGTACAGCCATCAGGGCAGGCATTGTGGGATATTGGTGGAAGCCAGTTCTCTGGACAAAACAAACAGCAGAGTCCACATTGGCTCTGTCGACAATAAAGGGAGGGGAAAAGACTAGGCTCTTGCAGTGATGGAAGCTTTTTGTTGCCCAAACTGGGTGTTTTTCTCTACAAAAATCTCCCTGTAGTGTAAACACAGTCATTGTTTTGTCACCAAAAGGCAGGTTTTGGCAACAAAACATGCCAGTGTAGACAAGGCCACAGTTTGGTGCCCAGTATAATACATTTGTGATTTGAGTTCTGTTGCTTTTAATGTTGACAGCTTTAGGCTTCAAAGTTTCAGGGAATTGTTGGACACCAAAAGATTATTCAGTCCGAGATTTTAGCATCCTGCAACTTTAATGGAGCCTCCACTACTTTTCTGTCTTTGTAATCTGAAATCTTCTCTTATTGGCTACTAAGAACCTATTGTTATGGCTGGTGGGCCACACATTTCTTAGAAGGTTTGGGGATCAGAAGTTTATCTCTGTAGTTTGTCTCTTACAAGCAAAATTCAATACCATATGTTGAATTATTCAACAATCCCAGTGTTGTCTTAAATATTCCTATGCATGCCACAACTGTGGGAAAATCTTCCATGATTATTGTATTGTTGCACCCAATGCACAGCTAGTTTTTTCAATAAATGGACTTTGCACCCTACTGTGGGGTCTGGGATGGAGGGTGGGAGCATGAGGTAGGGGACTGGAGTTCAGGAGATGATGTGGGTTCTGAGAGTTTGAGTGAAGGAGGGGGTTATGAAGGAGGATGGTGTTCTTTAGTAATGATCTGGGACAGAAGAATGGGGTGCAAGGTCAGGAAAGGGATATGGGTCCTGGGGAGGCGTGTAGGAGGAGTTTCAGGTTTCTAGGAGGGAGTTATGATCTGGAGGGGGTGGGTAGAGTGGGTTCAGAGGGTTTGGGTGATGACTTGGGGCAGGAGGAGGGTTGGAGGCCTGGGGCAGGTAGATGGGCGGTGGGGGGGGGGGAGGGAAACAAGGGGTGGGATGCCAGAGGCAGGCTCAGTCTGGGAGACACTTAAGCAGGTTGGCTCCCTGCCTGTCTGCTGCAGTCCCATGCTAATTGACTGGCTGCTCCAAGAGGCTCTGCTCCAGGCTGGGGGGAGGGGGAGAGAGAGAGAGAGAGGAGGCTTTGCACACTACCCTGGCCTCCATTAAAAATACCCAGCTCCTATTGGCTGGAAACTGGCTATAGCTGCTCTGTGCTAAGGATCCCTGGCCATATCTTGCCTACCCCTGATCTAACTACTTTCATAGTGCAAAATAAGACCTGTCTGAAGCAGTTCTTCACTTTCTTCCTCTTCTCTAAAATTGGAAACAAAAAACTGTTTTGACAAATCTGCTGCTTCTCTATTCTTGCTTTCTAATTCATTACTAATACTTCTTAGTAGACAGCATTTGTTTGATTTATTTATTACAATTCTCTTCAATGTCATCTGTTTTTCTTCTTGCTTTTAACTTCTGCTTATTTCTAAAATATAGATATCCAAATCACTGTTCTTACCAGATTTTATTTTTATTTTTTGAAAAGCCTTCTGTTTAGCAGTTATTGCTCTTTTATAGTAGTGTCTAACCACATTCGTTTCTGTTGCTCTTTTATCTTGCACAAAATTAACTGGGATGAATTTCAAATGTAGCTTATCCAACTGTTAAGTAGTTCCCTCTTCTCTGCAATAGACTTCAGATCTATTCTAGAATTCCAAACCAGAATCTGTTGGACATATTACCCTAAAATTTTCCAAAAAGTCAGAAATATTGAGGGTTTATTAAAGTGCTATGTGGGTATTTGTATCATTATCTCAAGCATGGTTCTAGTTTCAGCCAGATCATATTTTTTAAGATTAAATGAATTGTTCTGTATCTGTAACAGTAAGAAACTTAAGACATCTGTGAGGAGGTGTAAACTAAGAAAAAAATATTGAAATCCTTCTGAATTGGTCACTGCAAAAGAAAAATCTCAGACCCTTGCTTCCCCCCTCCGTACCCCCTCCCCCGGTTTGACTTACAGAATCCTGTAAAATAATTTATACACACACACACCTCTGTAAACCTAGTCTGTTTTGTACTTGTTAAATTAGTTTAGGCTTAGAAGTAACAGAAAGGTGGCAGGACCACCACGAGAGAGCCAATAATTTTAATTGGGATTTTTCTCACAAACTTGAGAGGCTAAAGAGCTAAAATCCTGGCTTTTTATTTTTCATCTTGTTGTGTCAGTCTGACTTTTTAATTGATATTTACTTCTATCTAAATCATCTTTTGTTCAGTTTCATAGCATTGGTAATTTCTGCCCAGGAGAATAGCAGAGGCTTTGTAGTTAGGAGCAAGGTATTTTGGCAGAGTTATGTGGAGAAGATGGCCCAAAACCTAAATTATGCCTCACTCTAGCAAGTAGTTTTTCTCATTTTTTGTGAACATGAGATTGTCAAATCAATTAAAAGAAAAATATGGCCATATTTCTTCATAAAAATATCAATATAGTGCCTGTTGACTTAAGTGGAAATGATGCACGTATCTGAGTGGAAAAGTTATAAATATAACATTCAAATACTGGTTGGACTTCTTTGGTCCAGTACCCTTGGAACCTGATGGGTGCCAAACCAGAGAATTTGCCAAACCACAGGAAGTCAGTATTGACTAGCAGCTTTACCAACACTCCACGGCTTGCTGGGCTCTTAGACGTTTAAGGGTAAATTATAGCTAAATAACAGCACAGAACACTGAGAGCCGGGACTGGTAGCTGTAGTATAAACAAACTATATGGGATTGCAGGAAACTTGGCCACACCCATGATAAGTGGACATCCAGATGTTACCAGACTAGAGAGGTCCAACCTGTTTTGCAAAAGAAAAACACTGCAGAATGATTTGGATAATGTTGGCTTATGTACTGATAAATGACCCATGTAATGCAGCATGGCTTAATTTAAGTGTGGTATTGAATACAGATGAAGGCTTTTCTATATATAACAGTTTAAAGTGCATTCATGACCGCATTTTTAACTGAAAGGGTGGCTGTGGCAGGAGCACTAGACCTCTCCCAGCATGCTTGTGGTCGTTCCTCCTCCTTTGCTGCCTTTATCAGAAAGAGGCAACAAGAAAGGGGGTTGAGGGGTTCTTCAAAGCAGCAGTGCTGTGTGGAGCCAAGGAACCTGACACTGGACTCCCTGTGGAGTTTTAAAGCTACAGTGCTGCATGGAACCTGGGGTCAACTTGGGACTCAGAGTCCCCAGCTGACCCTGGCCTCCATGCCATGCTAGCACTTTGAAACGCCGCGGGCAGTACGGGGCCAGCGGGGGACTGCTTGAGTCCCCCATTAGCCCTGTGCTCCTCCCATAACTTTCGCCTTTAAAGTGTAGCAACAGCCATTATCAACTAATTGAATAGTTGATGCAAATTGCATCGACTATTCAATTAGCCTATTAATCTAAATTTAACTAATTCACACTGACGGTTTACAGCGCTGTAACTTGCTGTGCTCTGGATGTGTGTGCTTTTTCATACCCCTGAGCCAGAAAGTTACAGTGCTGTAAAGTGCCAGTGTAGACTTGGCTGAAATATAGGATGGTGGATAGTATGTTGAAAGTACATGGTCAAAGCTTGCCTGTAAGTGTGACATCTATCTTGGTAGTTTGGTTTACTATAAATTGATGGAAGTTATTCTGGTATTCATAAAGAATGACTGTAGACAAAGGATATTGTGTTGCTGGTAGAAAATAATCAGCAAAGGTGTAACTACAAATGGGATCTCCTAAATTAAAAAAAAATTCTCTATATAGAACATAATGATCCCAATGAGCTATTTGTGATCTTAAAAATAACTCTGAAGAAAAGCCGTAATACATTGACATGTTGGAGGAACTTGTACTTCGGTTATTGAGAGGGGGCATTTCCATTCAGAATAACTAAACCAGAGAGTGTTTCCAAAGTCAGCAAAGGAAGCAGGTGATGTAAGCCACTGAAAAATGGAACTGTATTGAACTTGAAGTAGACATACTATGTTAGTTTGATTTGGGAATTATTATGCAAGTATATATTGCATGTGTGTGTATATATATATATATATATATATATAACCGGTTTACTGTTGGTAATTTACTATATTACCTTACTGAGTTATAACCCTAAATGTTTTGAGAACATCTGCTTGACTTTCCTCTGCTCCCCTCCCCCCAAATGCAAATAGTCATTTTTGGTTTAAAGAAAGAATTCCCAGGCTGTAGCACTTAGAGCTTAACTACATTCAAGAGATGTAATTTCAGAAGGCTGGTATCTTTGCTCTGTACTACTTTATTTGTAAACTAGACTTTGGACATTCTTTTGAGATGAGTAGATATAAAGTCCTTTTTTTTTTATTTGGAATAAATTACCTTCTCTTCAACTAAGAGCAGTTACAATCTTGCTGTTTCTTTTCTTTTTCTTTGACAGAGAGAGCTTGATGCCACAGCAACATTATTGGCTAACCGACAAGATGAAAGTGAGCAGTCTAGAAAAAAGCTTATTGAGCAAAGTCGTGAGTTCAAGAAAAACACTCCAGAGGTAAGGGGAAAAGCTACTTAACAGTCATTTGACTTCCTTGATGTAGTACATTTTTAGCAGGCACTTGTTAGTTTATTTTTTATATATTTGGTAAATATATATAATAAATGTGAAATAAACTAGATTGAGTGAATGTGATTGAAGGATTTTCTTTAGTGTATTGCTTAATTATCTTAATTGTGACTGAATTATATGGAGACTCTTTGGCTAGACTGAGTGTTCTATAATTGTTGAAATAAGAATTGACTTTTTGTGGGGTCTACATTTGAATACCATGCTTAACACAAATGGCTTGTTTACATTTCATAATCATCTAAAACTCAGAGACATTGCAAAAATATTTTTTAAATGGTCATTCAAACTTTATCACTCTTTCATGCAAATAGAATCTGGCCTTTTAACTCCTTATACATAGATCAAGGGTGAAATTTCAGCTGTGCTCTGAATTGGCTCGTGTTTTCACGGGGATCAAATGGAGTTATACCATTGCCTTCGTGGATAAGTTTTTTTTTGTCTGCCCTACTGCTGAGCAATCATTGGCCTAGCTCTATATCCACTGGTCAGAAGGGGCAAAGCTGTGGAGGGAGCCATGGAAGTACAGAGACAGGCGAGACACATCAGGGATAAACATCTTTTGAAGGGCTGATTTTTCAAATAGGCAAAGTTTCTGGATGTTGATGGAAGATTCATATGTGTATTCTGAAAATGTTATGTTTTTCTGACCCTTTATTCTATAAAGAATAAAACTTCAGATTCCTGAGACTGCAAAAATGACTTTGTGCATTTAACAGTTTGTTGGCTTATTTGGAGAGCTGTCCCTGGCAAACTTTCTCACACACCGACAACTGTATTTTTATCAAACAGAAGTTTACTGAAAAAGGTGCTTTTAAAATGCATTGTGTGATGTTTCTTAGTAAACTTTTAGTAGATTGTGTGGCTGCTAATGCTCAGAGGAAAGCCCTGTATTATTACATAGGCATTGTTTTCCCACTTGGCTTTTCAAGTCTGTGGCTTGCTTCTGCAGTAGACAAGACACACACAGGTAAGTGAAAGGTTTTTACCATGTTAATCATATTGCAGTAGAATTTAATATTTTTAAAAAATAAAAACACAGTACTAAACCTTTTGTTCACTAATTGGTAAAGAATGTTTTCCTTTTCTTCAGAAGTAGAGATGGATTAGATGCAAAAAAATGATTTTTGGATTGTCCTCAATATTTGGGGAAGTTTGGATCTGTTCTGACTTTTACAGCTTGGGTTCATTTCTCTTTAAGTCACAGCCATCACATTCTCCTGGAACTTGTATAGATTTCTCAGTGTTCCTTTTCCCTCTTTCCTCCATTGCTGTAATATCTTTTTTTTCCTGTCGTCTCCTCTTTTTTTCTGTCGTCTCTTATTTTGAACAGAAATATCATAGTCCTTCATCGTACTCTGCTTTCTTTGTCAGAATTCAAAAATAAAGTGGGTTGAAAAAGAGAGGAAAGTAGCTACTGTAATTGTAACCAGACATAGCAAGCTTGCGACGTAATTACTGCTTGCAGGAACAGAGGAAGTAGCTTAGATGTGCCAGTGTCAACCTGTGCTTCCTCAGGTGATTTGAAGAAGAATTACTTCTATACTAATATGTTGTGTCCCAATGGGTATTCCTGTCAGTGCACAGATGCACTGTACACCTTTTATCATAGATTTGTATAATAGTGTCCATTCACTTGCCTGTGTGCTGTTGGTATTCTCCTGCCCTGAACCAAGGCTTTATCAGGCTTTGCATGCAAACTCACCCACAGTTCGTTCTTAACTGCCTCAGTCTGAAACAGGGATAGCATGTCCACTTCTTTGAGTATGGGCAGGGGAGCATTGTTCCAGTACATACAGGCTCCGCTGCTACCTGGTCCTCATATGCCCTCATATGCCAAGTCCTTGGAGTTGGAAGCAGAGTCCTTCTGGTCCGGATCCAGCAAAAGTTCCAGGTCCCACAGAAGAGGACACCAGCCTCAGCTCTGACAGTGGCAAACCCCAGCCCAAAGGCTCTTTTGGACCCTCTGTGCCTTCCACCAGGGCCAGAGCTGAAGCTGCCACTTATACTCGAGGTCCATATCTGGCTTTGGCAACCTATGTGCCTTCATCTGGCCAGCTGGTTCCTGTACGCCTTGTGCCAATGCCCCGGCTCCTGTTCAGACTCTTCCAGCACTGGCATCTTCACACAGGCTATGCTTACCACAATTGGGTTGGCATTGACGAGGTACTCCTGGAGCCTGCAGAAACCATCTAGCAAACACCCGTCTCTTCTCCCCCCACCAACAAATATGCAGACAGAAAATACTATGTCCTAGCCAAGGCATGGACTACTTCTCCCATCCACAGCCAAATTCTCTTGTTGATGCCATCAATTGAAACAACCACAGTTTCGATCCACACCCCAGGATAAGAAACATATTTGGGCAGAAATATACTCATCTCCTACCCTCCAGTTCTGCATGGCAAACTATGAAGTTCTCCTGGCCAACTAAGATTACTCCAACTACACTAAGCTATCAAAGCTTGCTGATGAACTGTCAGACCACAAGTGCCCCCAACTACAATTTATTATCAGAGGATCAAATTATCCTGAGCAGCCCTACAGGCGGCTATGGATGTTGTTGATGTAGTGGCCCGAACCACCACCACAGCTGTTATGATGCATAGGGCCTCCTCAGGAATTCCCCCAGGTGCTTCTGCTCGAGGTTGAAGACCTCCCATTCAACAGGGGGTGGCTGTTTGCATGAAGGACTCTCGTGCTATGCTCTGCCCACTGGGTATCTATGTTCCATCCAACAAGAGATGGCATTACACCCCATCCTTGACACCTCTTTCAACCTGTGGTTGAATTGCCATGGATTTTGTTGATGGAAACAGCACTCCTAAGGATGTCAGTCCCCACACACCCAACCTGGGGCATCTCAGCTCTCCATGTCTGAAGCCCAATTTTGAAGCTTTGGCCGAGTGTCTGAAGAACTTGTCCCCAGAATCAGCAATAATAAAATCACTTGCCTGCCTATTTGGCCATCACTTCTACTCATTCTGTAAGGCATGGACGATGTAACGGAACAGTGGGTACTAGAGACTGTACGCTCAGGGTACGCTGTCCTGTTCCTCTCTCTCTGTCTCTCTTCAGGGATCCTTCTCATGAGCACTTCCTACAGCTAGAGGTATGCCACTTCCTTCAAATAGGTACTACGGAACTAGTTCCCATTCTGTATCAAGGAAAGGGATTTTATTCCAACTGCTTCCTCACTTAAAAAAACTGGGGGATGGAGACCTATCCTAAACCTCAAAAATTCAATGAATTTGTGCACAACTGCAAGTCAGTTTGTTTCTCCCTCCGGGCTTGGGGAGCAAGGTGGCTGTCTGGGCTGGGAGAACCATGGCTGACCTCTTGGGGAAGAGGTATCTGAATTGTGGCGGGTGTGAGGGGAGCATTTGATTAGGTTCTGAGGGAGAGGAAGTGCTGGTATCTAGGCTGAAGGGGACCTACGGCTGGGCTGAGAGGAGGGTGTGGGTGTCAGGCCACTCGCCTGGGCTCTGTGTGGAGGGGAAATGGAAAAGGGCAGAGAAAAAGGAACTGGGTTGTCAGAAGGGTTTCTTTAATTCTCTAATCTTGGGCTCATTTTTGAGTATGTTTGTATTGTTACAGACATACTTACTGACGTATTTTGAAATACCAAAATGATTGAAACTGGTGTGATTTATGTAGCATTATTTTTGCAAATTACATGTGCAGAATTTTTTATAATGCACAGAATTTTTATTTTTTGAATGTAGAATTCTTAATTTTTTTTAGTGCAAAATGCCCCCAGGAGTAAACTTTATATACCTATGGAATATCAACTCAGATAGAAAAGTAATGTATTGGGCATTTTCCTTTTTGAGAAACTTTCCTCCTTTCCATGGCTTCAGGAATAAATGTGGAGTGTGATACTAGCAATTGTTTCTGACTGGTATTGTCACGAGCACACTTCAGAGAAGCAATGTGTATTCTGGGAATGTTTGGAGTTGCAACTAGAGGCTTACAGTAAATTTCCAAAGCTTTATTTAATTTCAGAAGGAGAGCTTTTACCTTCTCAAAACTTGTAATTTTCAACATCCTATTTCTGCATTTCAGAGATGCAACTGGGGAATTTTAAAAGTCTGGTTAGTTGTACTTCATTGTGAGCAGCAGCTGAGGAGGCCTAAGGTTCAGAGGTTGGGTTATCTAATCATAGATCTGAAATAGTTAAACTATTGTATGCAAGATCACATGAATTGTCGTGCCAGATCAGCTTAAAGTCTGATTCTGATCCATATAGGACAGTGGTCAGTAGCCATTGAGTTAGGAAAAGATACAGTAACTGGGAATGGAGCGTGAAACCCCGTAATTACTAGTTAAAGAATAACCTTAACATAACAGAAGTTTTTTCATAACCCGTGTCTGTGAGTGAGTTGCTTATACTCTGAAGCGTAGAGGCTCTGTCTTTTAGGGGAAAATATTTTTTTCTAGTGTAATGTAACAAAGGCTGTTCTCATCTGTATTGTCTATTTTTTTAAAACTTTTACAAGGCTCTTGGCTTCAAAGTGATCATGTGGCATTGAGTTCCATAATCACAGAATGTCCCTTGTTCAGTATTTTACTACTACTTATTTGTAGTGTTGTAGTGCATAGAAGCCCCAGTCATGGATGTGGACTAATTTTGCTAAGTGCTGTACATATAGAAAACAAAAGACAGGCCTTGTCCTAAAAAGTTTACAATTTAAGTACAAGTAGAAAAGGTAATTTAGAAGATAATATTCATTATTTTGTCTAGTTTGATCATATATCCTCTTAATCATGTCCTTTCTAAATAGTCCCAATCATACCTGTTAGTAATTCTTGGCATGAGGCCGGGGGATTTCCTGATGCTGATCATTAGACTGCTCTCTAGTTCCTGTCCAAATTCCTAGTTGGGTAATTCCATTGAGCTTACTTACATTTATGTACCTTATGAAAAC